AATCTTGAACTGAGAGAACTTTATGCTCTTTTTTTTTTTGATTGATTGATTGAAAAAAATTCAGTTATTATGTATTTTAATATATTACGAATTAAACTAAATATAAAGAACTTTAAATACCAGCCAGTAATGAAGTTAGAAGAGTTAAGGCTAGAGAGAGAATTTCATCGTCTTCATTCTCATCTTCCATTAATTCTTCTTCATTTGTATCTTTTACAATATTATCCAACTCATCAAGTATACTTTTATTTTCGCCTGTAGTTTGTTTCGTTCCATTACTTTTCTGATGATATCGCTCCAATACATTATTCACAAATGCAATAATTTGACCAGGTTTTTGTAGAATAGCAGATCCAAGGTTTTCGATCATTGATAAAACAAGTTGGAGCAATGTCAAAAAACTAGATATAAATATTTTTAACTTAGTGTTCTGACAAAGCAAACAATTTGATAATATTAAGATGCGTGAGCTTACTATCTTGAATTTTGTTCGTGCAACTGAAGAGATCGTAATGACGTATACTCATTGAGGATATACATGAAGAAATCTCCTGCTAATTCATTGTTTGATATACGTTTCAAGAAATCGATGAATGTGTTAACATCGATTGATGTTTCAATGTTAGATAAGTTAAGCGTTTCCCTAAAATAAAATGAAATAAAATAAAATATTGTATAGTAAATATTGATCACTTTCACGAAATTTACCTCGAAAGTTGAAAGCATTCAACGTACATTCTTAACCTCATGACAACACCTCCAGATGTTCCAGGAGCAAAATAAATTTCTCCAATATCGCCAACATTAGGAGCTATCCTCCCTTTAGTCTTCCTAAGCAAAATCTCTTTCAAACCTTCAACGCCCTCACTAATGTTTAAAATTCCAAAATAAGCCAATAAAACTTCTAAAACAATATTCTTCAAAAAGGATTTTGAAAAGCATGTGAAAGAATAAAGATAATATAATGGAACCACTGAATCTTCTAGGAACATCTGCAATAAACCGGGTATAGGCTCACTTCCAACCAATATATGATGTATTGTTGCAATTGTTAATTGTAGATCTTGTTCATCCATTATCAGCGGATCAAGATCTGTAGAAGAATTGTAACCTTGGAATGATTGACTATCTTCTGGAATTAGTCCCCACCATTTCCATAATGTACCAAATATATTAGCAATTATGAACTTTTTGGTGATGGCAGGAAATTTATCGGCCATTCTAATGATTGTAAAAGCGGTCACTTTTATAACGGACAATGTCGCATCATTGGTGTTAGATGTTTGTAAGGACGGTAACGCGGAGGTTGATTGTAATATGTTCAGCAATTGTGGGCATATTATAGAAAAATAATCCTTTTTTTAAGATAAATTATTAATCTTGCAAATAAACCAATTATTGGCAGGTTTGCCTTTCATATGAACTTACCTCAGAAGACTTTGCCTGAGCAGGAACAGAAAGTATTAATTTTGAAATTGCTTCAAACTGTGACAACCCAACTGACAATGATGTAATTCAGTATAAAGAACATCTATAAGCATTTTTAACGTAAATATGATAAATATATGAATCAAACCTTCACTTTCTCCGCCAATCATAAAATTCATAACATCTTTCACTCCATTTGGTCGTAGTAAAATTTTGGTCAAAAACCTGCCACAAACATTTTTGAGCCATTTAGGTGCTGGATGAAGAGGTGACCCTAAAAGCATGGTTAAGGCTTCTAAAGATCGAAATGAATCTTCTCTAGTAAAGATATTTGAACAAA